GAGGGCAGTGTCACTGGCCCTCATATGTGGGATCCGAACCGGGGCCCTCTGGCATCCCAAGCGAGTTCTTAACCATCGCGCCACTCGGCCGGCTCCTCATTAAACATTTCTTATTGAATGTCTTTGTTTTATGTGTCTGTGAAGTCCATGAAAACGAGAGGAATCATTCAGATAGTATCGTGATTTTTGAAAAAGATAACCTAGGTGAAACTCCGGCTTGATTATCGTTGGAAGGGGTAAATGATTTCTAACCTTTATTCTTAAGTTCAGATAAACACTACTCATTCTAGAGCCAATGAATGCAAGCAGTAAAATAGCTTTCTTGCTATTATACTTTAAAACTACTTACATGCTTCATAGAGGAAAATGTATATTCAACTTTGTACTATTTCATGTAACATCTCCATTTCCACGTCATATTATTTTTCTTCTGTGCAGACCAGTGGCCAATACATTTACTGCATGAAATGAAACTTTACTCATGATTTGCTTTTAATTGGGCCAAGACTGAAAGATGTGTGAATCTATAAGAAAATAACCATTTTCCCAAATATCAAAGTGAACGTAAGAGTGTAAGAGTGAATATCAAACCCATTTACTTCAAAGTGTAAATATTATTCGTTGTTTATCACCGTGGTAACTCACATTCCAATGTGAACAAATCCATTTCCAAAGACGGAACAGCTCAATTTCGTCTCATTTGTCGTACTGACATCCATATCACAAGATGCCCTACAGATCGGCTTTGAAAAGTACCAGTGCGAATGATAATCTACTTTATAAAAATTGGATTGGCCTGAAATATGACTGGATTACATACAGGAATTAAAAAAATTCCCAATGGCCTTGGTTCTCACAATATTTTTGGTCGGCCATCCCGACTCTCAATACCAGAACATGCGCCGGTTTGAACTACAATGTAATTGCTTTATGTCTAAATGGTGTGCTCTTCGGGTAACAGGGCAATCCCGGAGTTAAGGCTGAAACCGTTTGAATTAGGAAAAGCGGAGCACTGCGCTGACAGAGTTGGTAGAGACGTCACGAGGCTGGGGGTCAAGCTAATTTACAGGGCTTGAAACATCGACAAGACAACCCGTTCCACCTCGGGGAAGAAAATACAGCGCAAACAGCAAAGCACAGTGGGTGGGAAGAAAAAGGGACTATGCAGGACGATCGCGGTCAGGAAAAAAAGAGCTGCAGCGTAGGCCCAAACCCAGCGGACAAAGGTGGCGCGTGGTCACGCCCACAGGGCGGGGTCTCTGACGGAAGAGGCGGGCCTGGCGCGGGCCCGTCGTCTAGGCAACGGGATCGTCTCTGCCGGGGCATTTCAGAAAGCCCCAAATTCGGAAGTTTGGGGTGGGGACAGGAGCCACTGGGAAGGGGAGGGGCCGAGACCCCGGTTTTGGTGGTCTTTCAAAGTGAGGGAGCGGACTGTGAGTAGATTCCAGAGCACAGGCGGGAAAGGGTCGGGGTCGCCCGCCTTCTACGGGGACTCGGCCCGGAAGCAGCTCTCCTCTTGGGCCCCTTTGTCTCCAAACCGCTCGGCTCTGGGCTCCGGCCAGCCACACAAAGGGCGGGCGGTGAGGGCCGCGCAGGCGCGCGAGCCGCCGTGGCTGCTGGGAGTGGTGGTTCGGCCGCCGAATGGTAGGTCTACCGCGCGGGCCGGCGGTCGCCCTGGCCGTACTAGTGCGCATGCGCTACCACTTCCGCCCTGCTCGGCCGGCCCTCTCTCCCTCCACCCCTCCACAGGACGCGGGTTTCTAGTACCGTACAGTAGTAAGAGCCCTGGAGGAATTACCGACCTCGTCCCGCCTTTTCTTCATCTTGATTGGGCCACTGAGATGAACGCGGCAGTCGATTGGTTCCCGGGGTTGCCAATTTGTTCCGGGACCACTTATAACCTCGCTGCGCGGCGGGTACGGGAGACTAAGGGGCTGAGTGGGAAGAGGGAGGTGGCGGCCCGGGCGTACGATGTTCTCAAGGCGGCGGTTCCCGCGGCAGGGTCTGCTCCAGCTGGGTATTGGGCGGGTCTGGCTGCCACTCCGCGTCCCCCAGCGGGTATGCAGCGCCGCCAGACAGGCTCTGCCTCCAAGTGCGAAACTCCTAGTAAAGTTTGCGCCTCGCCTGCGGC